AAAAAAAAAAAGTACACACTTCCAATTGTAAAATAAATAAGTAACCGGGATGTAATGTATAGCATAAGGAATATAGTCAAAATATTGTAACAACTTGGTGTGGTGATAGCTGGTACCTAGAATTATCATGTATATAAATGTTAAATCACTGTTGTACACCTGAAACTAATGTAATACTGTGTCAACTACCCTTCAATTAAAAAAAAAAGTTTCGGCACTAATGGAAGGAGCGGTGAGTGCGTTTATGACTGTTGGAGGAGGGGCCTGAGGGTCCGCCGCAGCCGTGAAGGCCTGAGGCGGGGAGAGTTACCTCCTCGTCCCCGAGCATCAGGGCCTTGCCGGATGATCACGGTCAATGGCGCTGCGATAGCTCGGGGAAGAGCGGCCCGCTCCAGGGGAAAACTTACCCAAAGGCCAAAGAGGAGTGGTGAGTGTGAGGAGCCAGCGCTGGAAAAAGAGGACGAGGGCAAGCTGCTGCTGGTGTCGGGGGGGAAGACGGGGCCCAGTTGGGGTGTCCCGTCTTCCAGGTTTCGGCACCAATGAAAGGAAAGGAGCGACACACAGCAGCAATTCACTGGAGAATTCCGCTTTATTAGGGAAAGGTGCTGGGTTATATAGGAAGGGGCATGAGCTGATTGAGGTGTCACTTCTATGGGGCTGGTGGCTATTGGCTAGGTACTGGGATTAGAGGGGGCGAGGGGTGAGTTCTCCATCTTATGGGTAGGGGCCCTTCAAGAGTTGCACCCATTTCTATCAGTGATTGTTAGTTCTGGGCTGACAAAGGATACTTCCATCCTCATGTCTCATATGCTTAGGAGTATAGGTGAAGTAAAACTTTGGTAGGGATTTAAAAGATTAGGGCAGCTTATTTGGCCCCAGATACCTCCTTACTTGAGAGCAAAACACCAATGGTTACTTCAGAGTATTACGTGAAAGTGTTTTGGGCTTGCCAAGAATATAGCCACCTAAATTTTTTCAGGATGTGGTAGTGTCTCAGACTTCTAGGTGATTTCTGTTTGTGCTGGAAAGAAATCTTACTCATGGTGCCCCAGTCCTCATTAGCAGTCAGGTGAGAACTTTCAGTGAATTAATCAACTTCTAGGACTATAGAGTTGAGGTGATTTGCTTGCTGCACTATCAGAATTACAGGCTGTGTGCATTTTCAGGTAGTTCCTGCACCCCAAATTAGGCTGCTGCCTCTCAAAAGTTACTGGTCCAGAAAGCACATGAATCATTTCAAACTCATCATAAACATAGGAAAATACTCCAATGGCTTTAATCCTTTTCTTGCCTCAACTTAAGTGTAACAAGCTGAATGGAATGGAGGTGCTGTGGTCCTTTACTGGATTTCAGGTTCTGCTTGAACAGGATCTTATAGTTGATTATAGTGGTTTGGTTGTCTTAGAAGTAATGAAAATTATTGCATATTATATCCCTTGTTGCATAAGAAGGGTCAAAAAGAATGTGCTAGCAATGAATTCTAATGGAAGAAGCCTAATATTTCCCTTCCATATTCCTATCAGAATCGGCTCCAGTCTCAAAGGGCACTGCTTCTGCAAGGCACTGACAGCCTGAACCGGGCCACGCAGAGTATTGAGCGTTCTCATCGGATTGCCACAGAGACTGACCAGATTGGCTCAGAAATTATAGAAGAGCTGGGGGAGCAACGTGACCAGTTGGAACGCACCAAAAGTAGAGTAAGTCTGGGCAGATGGAGAAAGGGGCAACAGTGGGCAGAGTAGGTGGGCCCATTATACCCTGATAACTTGCTACTACCGGCAGCTAGAGCGTCTGCATTTAGGGTCTGACTGTTTAGGTCCTTAAGCTTTTCTCAGTCTTTAATTTGCTTAGCTGAGAGGTCTCCCCTTGGAAGTGATTTTAACTCTGAGATTTAAAGGTCATTGGAAGGGGGGAAAGAAAAGACTAAAGAAACCCCATTTCTCCATTTATTGAAAATTATCAAACAAATAGACTGCAGCTACTCCATTTTTTCATTCCTGTATTACCAATCTGAGATTTTTATTTCCCATCTCTAGTGGAATATTCTGCTATTCTTATGAAAGCATCATCTACTTAAAAGATCCTAGGTTTCCAAAAGATCCAAAGCTATTTTCCACATGTTATAAAATAGTACTACTGATATTTTATGGAGGTTCAATCGTGCATTATAGCTCTTAATTAAGATAAGCTGGATCATTCTGGGAAGAATACAAATACTTAGGCCAAATGATGACTAAATTGGGGCCTCTAATTAATACTCTAAGAGGCTCTGAAAAATAAGTCATTTCTTCCTTTCCATACATCTGCATAGGAATTTAAAAAATAGTGTAACTTGATAATGGAAAGCTGTATTCTTATTTAGCATGAGGCATATACAAACTGAAGAACCATGAGCAAGGTTCAGATGGGAAAACAGCAGCTCAGTGTTGAGGGTTGAGATGATTTTTTCATACGCCTTTAATATAGCATTTAATTCTCCATTCTTAAATCAGAATGATGCCCTTCCCAATTAAGTACTGAATTCAAGGTAAGCTATGAAAAAGGCAACTTGTTTAGGTTGAATTTAAAAGCTAAGGAGTGAGCTGAGAGACCTGTTTACCAAGGCCACTGGGAAATGAGAACAGATGGCAGGTGGCATCTGTTGAAATATCCTCCAGCTATCTAGATTAGTAACAGGAAACCAAAAGGGAAAGGTTTTTAAAAAAAGGTTTAAAAAAGGCTTATTTCCTTCCACAACTCAGTGTGTCTCTTAAAGGGGTAAAGAAAAAAAAGAAAAATAACCAGATCCCAAGAGTGGTAATCTACCAGCCTACAAAAACAAACACTGACTCAGGAGGTTTTCCTGAGCCTGGCTCATGAAATGCAAATCTTAAGTTGCTCAGGGTTGCTTCAGTTACTGCTGAGGTACACTTGGGGCCCTTCTGTTTTGAGTAGCCAAGGTGAAGGGTTATTGGCTCTGTCCCAGAAGTCCCCCACAGCAACCTTGGGATATAATAATTTCTAAGCCATCTCGATGAGTACTTAAGTATCTTGTCCTTCCTTACCAGTTTCTGCTTATACTCAGAGGCTGTCATTTAAATTGGCTTGATTTCTTGGAGATTTTCAACATATATCCCTTAATGCCCACTGTCAGTTCAGGCATGTTCAAATTCGAACAATGTGTACTTTTGAAAAAAGGAAGAAATAACTGCTGTTTTCTTTTTTCAGCTGGTAAACACAAGTGAAAACTTGAGCAAAAGTCGGAAGATTCTCCGTTCAATGTCCAGAAAGTAAGTTTTAAACAAAGTCACAAAATTAATTTCTCTTAACTCTAATGTCTCATAACCAAGAATGTCAAAGCCTTAAACAGTGACTTGCAAGAGGCAGGCCCTAGTAAAGGTAAAAGAAATAAAGAATATTGTCATGTACAGTTAAATATCCCAGGACAAATCCTTCATTAAAAATACGTACTGCTCTGACTTGGAGCAGTGGAACATTTGTACACTGGAAGGATTTTTAATCCCTGTTCAAATTCCTTAGGCAAGACAATCATATTCCTTTAAATAATTTTGGAAAAGCTTGATTGATTTAGAACATTTTTCACTGCTACTGCTTAGTACTTGCTTTTGGTTCTGCTTGCCAAACTTCATGGGAGTCAAACCCCTTATCTGGGAATTCTGTCTTGTTAGCAAGAAAGCTTTTTTAAAAAGCTCTGAGGTAAGTGCTGGCAGCCACACAACCAGGGCAGAAGGGAAATTGCCACGGAGGCTGAATCTGGGGGTAAGTGGGTAGTGTGCATGAAACAGAACTACAGCTGGGCCATGGAACTAGCAGGAGAGAATTTCCTAAACAATGGTAAATTCCTGGTGGGACAAGAAGAAACCTTCAGTTTAGAGTGAACATAAAAACAGAGATTGGATTGTATTAACAAAAGATAGTAAATATTTTGAAGCCGTTATACTTCCCCATTTGGGTTGATGGGGAAAGAGAATAAGAAGGGCAAGAAGTTCACAAGAGATTGAAAGGTACTACCCAACTCTATCCCTCTTCTAGTCACTTATCCTAAAGCAGGACCCATCTTTGAGATGGACTTTTGACACTGAAGCCTCTGCTACAAATGCCAAAATATGTTCACAGCTGTAGTATGTACTAATGCAGCTCTATATGGTTAGATAATGATGCTGTATTCATGCTATTCTGAAAGAGGATTCCCACTGTCAGAAAAGGTATATTTAATATTTTTTCTAACTAACCCCTCCCCTCCTAGAAAAGCTACTTTTAAAGCAAGGAAGTGACTACTATATGCAGATATTCTAGAATCAAGAAACCCTTTTTATGCTTTGGTATTTGTTGTCCCAGTTTCCAACACTTCTCTGAGGTAGATAGGGATAACACCAAGTGACAGCTAAAAAAGCTTTCAAGTTATCACTTAGCAGCTGAAAACCTTGTGTACTTACAGCTGTGTAGCTCTGTGATCAAACAAAAATTCATTCTGCCATATAGTATCTGGCCTTGGCCCCTGCCCCAGCTCAAACCCCTAAATATTAAAAAGAGAAAGAAATACAGTTATCCACACTTCTGATAGTTCCCCACTTTGCTTCTCCTTATAGAGTGACAACCAATAAGCTGCTGCTTTCCATCGTCATCTTACTGGAGCTGGCCATTCTGGGAGGCTTGGTGTATTACAAATTCTTTCACAAGCACTGAACTTCCTACAGGGAAGGGTTTGTGGACCAGAACTTTGACCTGTGAATGAATGGTATAGAGCTGTGGGTTAAGCATATTGCTGCTGGGAGCTAATGCTTCAAGGCTGCACTGCCAGGCCGTGGGAGAGGGAGAGAAGACCACTTAAATGTGAAGAACAGCAACAAAGTGTACCAAGGTAATAAATGCTGTTTATGACATCTCTACATAGTACTCAACATAATACCCTGTGAACTGCAAAAAAAAAAAAAAGGATTTACAGTACTAGTATTGGTCATCAAAATGGAGAAGGGAAGGAAACTTTGTGAGAATGCACAATGTTCTCATTAAGGCAATACTGACTCACACCACCAGTTACTATCTGTTGCCTCAAATGCCTCACAACTCTGGAATGCCCGTTTGACAAATATGTATTAGCTAGCACACAGTATTTCCTAAATTCTCACACGTTCTTCACTTTCTGATTCATCTGGTGAACTGGGAGTAGGAAGATGGTCATAGACAATGTGTCCGCCCTCTCTTGTCTGACCAAAACTTGAAGCAATGACATCCACTGCCAGGCCCGCGGTAGCCTTGGCCTCTTCCTCTGAAGAGGCCAACCGAGGATTGACTTCAACAAGATCCAGTGCTGACAGCAACCCTGAAAGAACACAGTATGACAAAATCTCAGAAAATTCCTAGCTGCTACTTCAGTGAGGGAAGTCCCAGCTGGACAGAAAAGCCAATAAAAACAAGTCATTTTCTACAATAAAATTCACTGTCAAGAAGTCCCTTACACCTCATAAATTTAAGTTAAAACACTGGTATATTAGAGTAGGACTGAAAGAAACCTTAAAGGTAATAAAATGAATCATCCCTGTTAACATAACACAGAGCTGTCAGGCTTTCTGGACAGGATAGCTGGGGGCAAGGAGTTTCAACCTACTTGGAAAATGTATGCCATTTCCAGCATCACTAGGAACCTTCCAGGTGACCGCCTGTAGTTGGGTGAAGAGAGCTTCCACTTCTCACTAGCCAGAGCTCTGTTTTTACTTTTAAACTCTGATGCTATAAGACACTATGTACCCTGATATATAGTTATTACTGTGTATCTTATTCTCACCCCTGCAGGTCTGAGCTGAGGGCAGGTCCCCATAGGCTGACAGTTTTTACATCTATAAGACTGACCCAGTTGTCTTGCACTTGGCCAAGGGAAAACTTGGCTATACTTTAATTTGGATTCCAGTTACCTTCTGTGCAGGTTTGAGAACATGTGCCCAAAGGTTTTTGAAGGGAAGATTAGACCAGAAAAACCTATCCAGACCTGCCCTGTATGCTCCGGCCCCCAACACACACATGCCTACTTCTCTGGGGTATTTAATTCTGGTCTGTTACTCTGGGTGAAGTGAATCAACTTCTTTAACAAGAGTCACCTGAACAAACTAATAATTGAGAGTAGAAGTATCTGAGAATATCCAGGATGGCTAAAAAGCCTGGAAACATTGGTGAATATACCTAATGGTTTATTGATATGACAGTATAGTACATGATACTACATCCAGTGTGCCATCCCTTATTAGCAACACATACCTCAGTGCACTGTGGAAAACTGCTGTGAGCAGGCATGTTATTATAGCCCCAGTTCCTGTACAGGCACCTGTGATTTATTTATGTATCTGATTTTCACTGACTAAACCTATGGCTTTGGCATAGCCCAGTAGTAATCAAAAGGGTTTGAGCTATTAAAAATATGTATTAGCCATGTTTCTGGACTATTGCCAGCCTATAGATCAGTTTCAGCAAACTGCTTTGTTTCTATATGACAGTGTCATGACAGTCTTTTGGAATAGAATAATATCGCAGCAGGGGAAGGTGGCAAGGCATGCACACTGCCCCCAACTACTGCTAGAGGCTCTCAGTGGTGTTACAGGGAAGAAGATGGAGGCTTTCACTCAGGTTCACTGGCCACGAACCTAAGGGCAGCTGACAACATCTAAGACTGGGGGTCTGAGAATGAGACCATCTTGCCACTACCAATCTGACAGCCAAGCATTCTTTCCCTTTTTGTAAGACTTAAGTGTTTAGTACTACAGAGCTAGAGAGACCATTTCTCAATTTTCATATCTATCCCAACTAGTTAAGGGTTTCCAGTAGCCCTAGACCTTTTAAGTCAGGGGTCTCTATGCTGTTTAGACCCCAATTACATGAGATGGTTTTGCAATCAACAGTCATTTTAAGTAGTCTTTAAAAACAGAAGCTGTCAGAATGGAAACTGCAAACAAGTATGAGTTTGGGGACAGTAACCCCATGTAGCTGTTCTTAATGATCTAACATTCATCTTACTTACCTTTCTGTCAGCTATTTGTCTTCCAGTATCCTCTATTAAAGGGCCTATCAAAAAAACTTCAGCATAAGACTTACTCAAAAGTTGCAACATATTGTCCAGTTTTGAAATATCTTCAAGAGAAGCTTTAACTCCACCCTCCCAACTCTAAGTGAACCAACCTCTTAATGTAAGGGTGAAAATTATAGCTATTTGCCCTTGCCTTTTAATCTTAATCTACCTTTCGACAATTCAGATCTGTACCAGTCTGTCAATTTATTCTTTAAATGTTTAAGCAGACATAAATAATTTTTCATTTAATATTACCTTAGCATGTTTTGGTATGAGCCAGGTCCAAACATGCCTCTAAATGACTATCCCTTATTAGCCTGACCGACCACTACTCTCGGCTGTAAAAGTTTAAGCAAAAACTATGTCTGCAGTAACATGGAATAGCAGAAAAGATCCCCTGGCAGGCAAGATGCTTTAGCATATTTATTTGTTAGTAAACAAGTTGATCACTACTTACCTGTATTGTGTACTTCCTCAGTAATATACATGCCTTCTCGATAGGTCAATCCCCCTACAACAGGGGTTCCTGTGGCTGGAGCCAGTGTAGGATCAAATGCATCAATATCAAAACTCAAATGGATTGGTCTTTGTCTTCTTGAAAGGAAGAGGATAAGAGAATTGTCATTTGGTTGTGCTTGGACATTCATCCTTATAGTGGCAACTCCTTGATTTTGTTGCTTTTAGTCCTGGTAACTTGGTTAATACAGCAGATTCCAGGTTTCCTATTCTGGAAATTACTGAGTATTAGCGTATTGGCTTCCTAAACACCACTTCATAATTTTGCCATTTGTTCTGTGTGCCTTAGACAAGATTATAGGTTATATTTCTGACTTTCCCTAGACATTAGATAGAGCTTCTTATATGCACTATCAATAGAGGGAATTCTTCATTTCTGTATGACATTGGGCTCTGACAGATGCTAATATAAGTTGGACTGGTCTAGGTTACAGTTGTTGTTATTTTCTCAGTGTAACATCAGCTTAGCTTAACTCTCATTTTCTGTCTTCAATTTTATCATCTCCCAACCTAACTTCAGTTTAGCCCAGGTGTCCAATGGCTGAAACTAACATAAAACAAACACCTATATGCTGAATAACTAAGTTTCTTAACATCTAAAGAAATGGCATACTATCAGGTGGCAACTAATTAATCACCCAGAAATAAAGACTCAGCCCTGGGAAAACGCTCTTAAAACCAGCAGTTGATTAGCATTCACCTACCATCTTTCTATACTGAAGTTTGCTTAACGTAAAAATGCCATTCAGATGAGGCAGTAGTAAGGCTGGGAAGAATGGGACAGTTACAACAACGAATGCTCCTCAGTGCCAAACATACGCATTAAAAATGGAGCTAAAGAGATTCATGAGGGACAGGATGTAGGCAACAACTTAAGGAAAACCACTTCCAACCCCAGAGAAGAGTATGATCTTTCATAGTCTTCCTTTTGGAATTACTCAGATTTTTTTATATGTACATTTTGCTTTTATTTTAAAAGAAAGCTACTATCCTCAAGAGACAGGCTAAAGTGCTGTCCATTGGGAGTCTGCCCTGTTCCCTTTGGAACTGAGAAGTAGACATGCATTGTAGTTACTTACTTGCCAAGCAGCAGATCGAATGTCTGTTCCATTACCTTCTGGATACCAAGTCGATCTATATCTCTCATGGAAAAATACTGGATATCATAATTCTTTAAAATAAAACTGCGGTGAGATACAAAGGAAAGAGTCCTTAGTTTAAAGAGCATTTTTAATCAAATGCATATCTGGAGGGGGTTGACTTTATAGTAAGCTACAACAGGTTAAAGCAAGGAACAACCCATCAAATGGAACATAGGAGTCCAGGACCCAAAGCTTAACCCTAAGGTATCAACTTACTGTTCAGGAGGATCCACATCTCTCAGACCAATATACACAATACTTGGGGAAGAGATACAAGGTTTGATCCAGGAAAATCCTGGGAGTTGTGGTACCTGTGAAAAGAGGAATGAACAGAATTCATCATCAAGGAGTTTTGGTCTCACCAAGATAATGTGTGTATGCAGTCTGCTTTCTCCTACCCATAGGATATGCTTAAAGAAACAAAAGACACACTCAGTCTGGGAAAGAGAAAGAGAATTGACAGTGGAAATGATTCAGAAAGGCAGTTGAAGAACATAGTATAGCTTCCTCAAGAGAAAAGAACTCCTAAGTGGCCTTGGTTTCTCATTAACTTACCTAAATAGCAGGAATACTGCTGATGAGCCTTTTCTACTCCCTTGCACATCACTGAATTGTATGGTTTTTGAAACATAACCCATCTCAAGTTGCTGACAGCCAAAACACAAATTCTGCTTAATGAAACGCTTTTGTACTATCCTGGTTTAACTTGGTCCCTCACTGAGGGGAGTGATATACAGATTGTAGACTATGCCTAACATGGGCTCCCATGTCTTCAGAACAGCCTAGGAAAATTTTACCTAGAGGTAATCATGGTTTACTTGTCTTCTCAACCAGTGGGTCTAAAAGTAAGGTCTGGGAACCTCTAGCTAAAAAGTCCTCAGGCAGTCAGTGTATCATCAGAGATAGACTATGCCTAACATGGGCTCCCATGTCTTCAGAACAGCCTAGGAAAATTTTACCTAGAGGTAATCATGGTTTACTTGTCTTCTCAACCAGTGGGTCTAAAAGTAAGGTCTGGGAACCTCTAGCTAAAAAGTCCTCAGGCAGTCAGTGTATCATCAGAGTGACTGCCCACTACCCACAGTCCTTTTTTAAAAAATGATGAGCCCGCCTGAGAGCAGGGACTATGTAGTCATTGTATACCCTTAGTGTTTAGCAGACACTAATGCTCGATGCCAGGTCCACCATAATGCTCGATGAAAACATAAAGGAGTGGTAACACATTATGTGTCACCACCACCCATCCCTTCACAGAAATCTTACTGAACTAGAACTCTCAAAGCCCCTGCAAGCTTCTTTTCATTTCTGCCTACTGACCTTGTCCTGTAGTTCTCTGAGGAGAAATGAAACTGGCTGTCCATGGAGATTTCCAGATGAAGTGGTGAGAGGTGTATTGATGTCAGCATGGGCATCAACCCAGATCACACAAAGGTCTGGGCAGTGTTGGGCATGGCCACTAATGGTACCAATTGCCAGGCTGCAAAGAACAAATACAGTGATCCTCAAGGTCCTTTGCTTGGCAAACTACCAATGACTGTCTCAGCCGGTGCAGCTCACACTACCATCAGGACCCCTAAAGCAGGGTTTGGATGAGACAAGAGTCCCTGGACCTATAGCTTCCAAAGATTAATCTTGAGTGAGTTGGGGGGAAATGGAAGGCTCTGAAGATTTAAAACTAACCACTGATTGCCCCTACAGTGTGATAAATGGTATTGCTGCCCCCAAATCCATATAATTTGATCCATTAGCCCTGGGCCAGAAAAGTACTTCAAATACTTGTTCAATGAATGAAATCCAGTAAAATGATGTGTTCTGTATGTAACATCTCACAAATACTGCTTAATACATGTTAAAGTAGACCAAGGAGATCTGATTATTTCCAAGCGATCCATTAACTTTTTAAGGGTAAAAATTAGCATCGTAATGTAACTCTTGAAAAGATGTGATACTTTCTAAAACCAGAAGTTAAAAATTGTTAAAGACATTAGTAAGAGGGCAGCCGAATTAAAGACCTTATTTAGATCACTGAGTAAAATAGTTTATTTGCATGTTACATACATTATCATGGCATTCAAATACCTGTTTCTGTTTTTTGCCTCTCCTTGTCCTTGGTCTCTGCATACATTAGCTAACTGTCCTGTCTCAACTGTGGCAGTATAGCTGGTGAGTTCATGGTTGGGAAGCTGCCCACTTCCCAGTAACCAAAGAATGTGACATAGATGGGAAATGCAGCTTAAGCATCTTAGGAACTAATTACAGCCATCCTTCCTGGTCAGTATAGCATGAGGCAGCATTTTAAGCTCCAAGCCCAACATAGGGCCTTTTGGAGGGTTAGCATGATCTAGAGCTAACAGCAGTTGATTAATCAGAATACCTTGAGTTTTTCCTGGGAAAAGTTGTGATCTAGGAGAAATCCTCTAATTTCTCTGGATTTCAGTTTCCTTCTCTATAAGATAAGGATTATAATCTTGGCCTATTTAAATCAGAGTTGGTTTGATTATTAAAGCAATAATGTATGTTGTACTGTGTAAAAGGAGCAGAGTGATCTAACAACACCTTTTCCTTTAAAATGATCAATGTTCAGGTTATATACTCATCCCTTGCTTTCCTAGAATCTTCCAGATAACCTAGGTTTTGCATTGAACCACGAAATAGGGAGGACTGACAATGCTTCAGTACAGGACAGGACATCCAGTACAGACCAAAACCAAAGACTGTGATAATCACAGTGATAAATGGTCCCCAAATAGACAACTGGAAGAAAAAATTCAAATGAATTTCAAGAGCAAGCACTGAGCTGAAAGATAGGAGTCTCAGCCTCTGGTTAATTTAACTGAATCTCAGTGGAGAACCTGAGACTGCTTTCTTACTCTACCTAAAATTTTATTCCTAATGAGGACTCTACCTGCCTACCTGCCTTTCCAGTTGTAACAAAGATGTAACTTCTGTTAAGTGATCTAAAAGCTCTCTGAGCACCTCTGAGAGTTGCTACACTGGATCTCATAAGAAAGGCTAACTGCCTACCAAAGGTCACATTGGATTTGAATCCCAGCTTTGCTACTTCCTGGCTCTAGACTTTGGGTAAGGTATCAAAGCTCTCCTCAGCATTCCTAGCAGTAAATTAGATAAAACTCTCTGCTTCACGGCACTGTTATGAGAGTTAACTGAGAATATGCATGAGTGTTCAATACTCCTAGTACTTCAATGCCATTTTCCTTCTACCAAAAACCTTCATTATTTAGCTCAAATCACACTCCCCTGTGAAATATGACTATTCTAGTCCAAAAACTGATCTCTAAAATTATATAGAATATTTTGTTTTTTTTCATTCCATGTGTATTTATTTCATCTAGTCCTAGATCACAACCTATTTCCCATAATCCACGGTGCTACCTGAGAACACATCAGAACAGTGCTCAATAAAGTACATGCTGATTCCCTAAGGAGGGAAGGATCTATTGTATTAGTCACCTAAGGTCCATCCTGGGGAGGTAAAGAGTGTATTCACATGCCAAGTGGGGAATCTCTAATAAACCTATTAGTAGAAACGTTTACCCCCAGAAAAAAAAAAAAAGCCCATTTAGCCTATCAATGGATCCCTCCTAGCCAAATGGAAGTTGTAAGATGGTTTCTCAAGAAAGCTTGAGGTAAGCATGAAACATGGTGTCTAAAAACTCTGCTTAGTCTACCTCTGAAGTGTCTTTATACTATACAGTGTGTCCTACAAAGAAAGTCACATGTCTCTCCAGCATCGCACAATCTTATGCTATTTATGCACAGCATATCCAAAAAATTCTGAAGAGTATTTTACTCTGAGGAAACAAGCTAGCCAATTAGCCCAAAGCACCATGCAATCTAGCCCCTCCACCACCTGTGGCTCCCCGCTTACCTGTGGTCTCCTCCCACTGTGACACAGCTGTAGCCACTTGACACCGCTCTGCTAACCACCTCAGCCAGTTCCTGGTTGGCAAGGCCCACTGAGCGAGGATTCACTATCAGGTTATTGTAGAGATCATCTTTGGGTACGGGAGTAAAACTCAAATCTCCAAAGTCTTTTAGGCTGCAGCCTAGAAACAAATGGGAGATGACAAGATTAATTACAATTAATTAAGGCTTGGGCCTAAAATAACAAGACAAAGTACACATACTCATTTGTCACAGTAAAATTGAAAATGTCACATGACTCTGGCAAGCTATCTCAATCATCCCAGCAGTCCTGTGTGGCAGATCCTATTAGGAACGTCATTTTGCAGATAAAGAAGCTGAGTTTTGGAAAATGAAGCCCAGAAGTGTTGCCTAAACCGAACTTAACCTAACCAATCACAAAATTGGTAGTAGTTAGACCTCAAATACCCCAGAGTTAGAGTAGAAGTAAAATACCAAGAGGAACCAACAGAATTTAAAGAAAATTATTAATTTAGGACAAAAAAATACCTACATAGAAATTTACATTATAATTTTTTCTTGAAAGGCCAATCTGAGGACCTAAAGCATCCTAAAAGAGAAATCCCTAACATTTATTACTTACAAGGTCCTAGGCACTGTTCTACTATGCCCACCATAAATTTTTATTTAAGACTCCTAACAATCCCACTAGGTAACCAAAATATGTCATTCTACAGATGAAGAAGCTGGAGCAAGGTCCCAAGGTCACACAGCTGCTTAAATGCCAGAATCAGGATGCAGATCCAGGCCATCTGCCCCCGAAGTATGTATTCTTGACTAGGAAGTTTGTCTCCCAAAAAAACCCTCTTGATTCTAACACTTTAAGAACTAGTGAATCCTCCTAATAACTGACAAGCTGGCGCAAATGCAGTGGCAGAGGCAGAGGATCTTCTGCAAGGTCACCGACTGTGACATACACCATCACCAGCTGCTGGACACTCCTCTGAGCAGCCAATGCACGACCTGTGTGGATTCTATCAGGAGTCACCAACCACAGAGAAGCCAGAGGTGATGAAGATGCACCTGCCAAACAGGAGCATCCTGCAACATGGTGGGTGTCTACATTCACCCTGGTGGAAATCAAGTCCGAGATGATGGGCCCTGTCTGGGTGAGTTCTCCGTCACCTACAAGCCCGTGAGGCCGGGCTGGCCTGGCATCAAGGCCACCTACTCCTGTTTCATCCCTTCAAATAACCTGTTTGGCTAATAAAGGCACAGACTTCTCTTTTAAAAATATTTTAAAAAAATATTTAGTGATATATTCTGACAGTAAGCTGTCATTTTCCCACTGGGTTTTACATATTCCAGTGAATTATGACACTACTACACATTAATTTGAAGTACAAGAGAACAGAATGTTACCATACATAGATTATATCCTTATGGCTCTGCCGAATGAGTCCAAATATGTTGGGGCAGGGGAAGTGGTCACAGGATAGATATCTTAGTATTGACAGAGATTTGTATTAAAGATTTAGATTAAGATCAACCTGGACCCATATGAATTTCAACTGTACAGTTTTGAACTTTACCTCTTGGACTCAAACTCAATCCAAAGCCAACTTCTGAGAGAATATAAAAGTTTGAGAAGCAATGTCCTGGAACATGAGGCCAACTAATGGATCACCACCAAAAGGGATACTGGAAGCAAAGGGAAAACCTTATCCTATTCTCAAAGGTAAAATGCATCTGTAGCTAGAATTCTGTATTATGTATCTTTTGGTCATTTGCATTTAAAAAAATCATCATATAAAAGGCCCAAACCGGAAAACATCTGGACAACTAAGGAAGAAGAGGGGAAGCTGCTGAAATTAAGAGAATATAGTAACAGACCAAAGACATTGGGAACCAGAGAGAAAAAGAATAATCAAATAAAACATTCATAAAAATCTTTTAAAAAGAAAAAAAGCCACAAGTCATTAAGCATTTTACCAAATCTCAAAATATGGGAAGACACTTTAGATTTAAGAGAAATGCACCTTTAACCAACTTTTAAGTCAATTATCAAGTCTTGCCATTGTTGGCAACAGTCTCGGGCCAGACAGATTTTCAAAGTCAGCACCAACCCTTGATATTTCTTCTTCCATCACAGTTCCTTCTTTAACCTCATCAAGCATTTAGGTTCTCACTAGGTAAAGATACCAGAGCATGTCGTGTCCTATCATATTAGGTACAGAATTAGAAAAGTTTTATAATTAATTAAATAATGTTAGTACTAAGGAACTTTTGAAGATGACTTTAACTCATTTAGTCTTCACATGACCAATAAGAAATACATGGGAATTAAAATGATCAACCCAGTGGATAAGTGACAGAACTTGGAGAACACTCATGTTCCCAATCATGGAACCTAAGGTGTATACTCAGATTAAGTGTGACAAAACAGTACTCAGCTCATTACTGTCAGAAGAGAGCTGCAGAAGGAACTTAAAGAGGAATCTGGTGGTCTTAACAGCAACTCTCTCCAAGGAAGAGAGACTCAGTTTCATAAAAGGATTTTGGTCATTAAGTATCTAACGGTGAGTGGCTCAAGATTAATTCACAGCCTGGATGGTGGGTTCTCCTATGATTACCCAACTCCATTTGCTCTGATTGCTTCTGGTTATTCACTTAGTCTCCCAGTTGCCCTCACACCAGCAAGAGGGCTTCCTGACAGTGGATGCTAGAAAGACTGTTTGTTGTTCAGCATAATTATACACGAGCATTTTGGTTTATACATCAGGGTTAGCATGAGTCTCTGGGTCGGAAAGCCTGATTACACACATCAAGACTTCTGTTTCTGGATCCACAAAGCTAAGGGCCAGATATCCTGAAGTGATTAAGAGCTCCAGAGGTTCTGCCGGAGCAGCCCACCCTGTATCACTCCCGACTGTGCTCTTTAATTTCCACAGTAAGTTCCAGGTAAGGATGAGGGACAAGTGCTAAGGGGGTGAAAGGAAATTCAGTAAAATTGGTGTAGTCGAGGAATGATTCTTACAGGTAAAGTTCATACCAGCACTGTTTTGCTCTTTTTGTTGTTCTCTTTTATTACTAGCAATAGAAATTTTTTATAAAATTGATAAGAAGTATCTGATAGTCAAAGTTCCCTCTCCCATTCCCCAGGCTTGATGACTCTATCCTTGCAGACGTTTATGCATACACATAATCCATAATATCCTTCTAAATAGGTTGTTAGAGTAGGCTAAACTGCTGTAATTAACCCTCCCCAAAACAATGGTTCAGACACAGTGAATTGGTTTCTAGTTCACGTAACACCTAGGGTAGATATTCTAGGTCAACAAAGGGCTTTCCTTGACACAGTGATTCAGAGACCAGCCTAGCTTGTGGTGCTGCCATATCTAGGGCTTTGCCATCTGTGTGGCTAATGTTAGGTCTCCCCAGGTTCGAGGCAGCAGGAGAGGAAGAAAGTACTGAGAAGGCACACCTCTACCTTTAGAGGCCCTTAAAATGAGTGGCACATCACTGTTGCTCACATGGCATTGGCTGGCAAATGCAGGTATAACTTATGTACAGCAAAGGGTAAGATGGACTTTAATGAATAACTAGCAATCTCTGCCACCATGAGTACTTTTAAATTCTACTGCCATAACCTTTAAGTGATTAAGAACTCAAAACACTAAAGCTTACTTTGCTGATCCTAACTACTGGCAAGCCTAACTATTCTAGTTCATTACAGAGCTGAGTCAGCAAATACACTATGCCATCCTGATAGAACCTATTAGGAGCTTTCTCCTCTACTGCCCACTGCATCAATAGCACTGTAGCACCCAAAAGACTAGCGAGGTCCAGAACTGTTTTCTAAAGAGTGAGTGAGGGCCTGAAAGAAAAAATGTACAGGCCATGTTTGGAAACAGCTGAGCAACTTAATAGGAGTAAGAAGTTTGCACTGGAGCAGCACAACATGAGGTTGTAGAGAACGTGAACTGTAGAACCGTAATCCAGAGGCCAGACTGTTTAAGGAGTAGTAAGGCTAATGAGAGGTTAATTTTTTTAAGAGCAGGAAGAAATAGTAAAGCTATTACTTTATCAGAGTGCTAAGACAAATTCTTCTGGCAAAACACACAAGAAAAGGTCTTGCTAATTTCTAAAGACTCTTAGAATAATAGTGAAAACAGAAAATACTGTACTATGGAAGGAATCGCCCCGTCATTCTTGATGGAGCTGTCCCGTTCTCGGACTTTCTGTGCTCAGGGTAACTCATCTGCAAGTCTAGGTCAGAGGACATGATGTTTCACTGCTGCCCTTTCCTTTAAGAAAGCACTGTAGGACAAAACGAACCTGAAACTTCAAGGAAGCTCTCATGACAAACAGACTGGGAACCAACTTGAAAGGGCTCTCATTTTCCACTTGCAGTGGGAAAAAGTAAAAGCTCTGTATACTGGTATAGTCTCACTGCTTCTCTTTGCAGTACTGATAATAAAAATATACTAACTCCCACTCTGACCTCTGAAGCCCAGTGTTACCTTTGGCCTTGATAAACCTCTCCAGGCTCCACTGGAGTGGAATAAGAACACAAGTGCATCAACAGAATGATGCAACCAGGTGGTGGAAGAAGAAATCAAAACAGTGCTTCCTGACTTAAGCAATATCTGTAGACAGAACTTCTATTTCAGGGCCCAGAGCACTGGTAAATCCCTGAAAGAAGCCAGTGACAGGAAAGGAAAAGGAACAAAATTGCCTCCACACACCACACTGTTCACCACGTGCCTCACAGGGGCTAACCTTCACAACCTCTGCCGATGTCATTATCCACATACTTCAGAGGAAGAAATTCAGCAAAGTTAAATAGCTCCAACTGTTTAGAGCAAGCCTCTATCACCCTTTGATTAGAGACTCACACAGGACAATATTATGAGGCAGCAGGCATTTTTCTAGAGCATAAGGGTACCCCATTCTTTATACTGCTCTGACTTCCACTTACAAGTAGCTCCAGCTGCTCCCAGAGCTCCCAGGAAGTCGACAGAGATGGGTTCTAAGGTGGGCTGAAACATAGGAGAATCTACTGAGCCACAGGTAGCCCACTGGCAGAAAAACAGATTTAGAAAAAAGCCAGAAGCTTATTATTAGTAGTAGGCAGTGTTTTCAAACTCACTGACTAGGATGGGATGTTTATGATTTGCCA